CCTCAATTACTAAGGTGCCTTAATAAATGAGTAACTGAGTTTCTCAAGTCCAGTCTTTCATCGGGTTAAAGGGCTGGGCTGAAAACAACGATTTGTGGCCAACAGAACTAGGTATGTTTAGCTTAAAGAAGTGTAGGCCAAAGGGAGTCATAATAGCTGTCTTCCAATATCTGAAAGGGCTGTCAGAGGAGTGGGGTGTAGATTTATTCTCCATAGTGCTCAAAGGTAGAATGAGAACTAGTCCATGGAAGCTTTACAGGGGAAGATCCAAATTCAGATGAGGAATTTCCTGACCATGACAGCTATTAAGCAGTGAAACAGTTTGCCTCCTGGAATTATGGGGGCCCTATTACTGGAGGTTTTCAAGCCATGGTTGGACAGCCATTGATCTGGGAGGTCTGAAGATTCCTGCTCTGGACAGAGGGTTGAACTAGAATACCTCTGAGGTCCCTCCCAACCCCTTTGATTCTACCATTTTAACTCTGTTTGTGTTCTTGTATACTGCTGGTGTGATGCATGGCACACTTTGCTGCAAAGATCTGTTTGAACTTGCTGTTTGCTGAAGTGTTTCTTTAGCACTTCAGAGTTAAAAAGAATTGTTAAGGGTAGGCACTTGATTTATCAGTAATCTTTTGGTTTGTGTGTTAAAGAGAACTGTAAATGTTACATAATGCTGGCAAAGAGAGAGAAAGGGATGGATTTTTGAACTCCCTGAGCAGAATCTCTTCCCTGGACAGCCTTCCCACTATCCCCTATTCTATGCAATTTTTTAATTTTTTATTTACAGACAGCCTGGGAAAAATAGGTCAATAAATCTGCAGGTGAACTTTTAAATGCTGGAATGGAGGAAGACAATCCATGTTCTGGATAGCAAAGTGAGGCTTTAGGTGCAGACAACATAGTTAACAAAATTAGAAAATGAAGTCTATTTTAAAATGAAGTAAAATACCCCTTAATGGACTGACTAGAATATTTTCTGCCAAGATGTCCTCCTACCCTGGAGGAGGCAGTTGGTGAAAAGGTTGCATCTTGGGAGAGATCAAAAACATACAGACAGCCATGGGTGTCCTCAGAGGGTCAAAAAAGTCAAAATGGTAGCTACAGCC